AAATATTGAAAAAAAGGAATTTGTTGTACTAAGCCGAAAAAGAAAAAAAAAAAAAAAAAAAAAAAAACCTACAGTGTAAACAAACAAAAAAAATGTATCAGTTTCTATGATAATATCTTTGAGATTAATGTTCTACAAATTAAGCTTTTCTTGTTTTGTTTTTATAAAAATAAATATTTTATCTATATTCTAAACACCATCTCATTCCTTCTTTGTCTTCCATGCCTGTAGTTTACTCAAATCTCAACTAGTTATGAATATCAAGTTTGTTTGCTGCAGTACTTATGCTGTTTTTTTAAATCGTGGATCTAACCGTGCTTCGCATCAACTTTGCTTTCTGAGATGATTGTCCTGGCATGGTTTCCGTACTTTATACGCACCTGATTGGTTGATTTCGCTGCACGCCGAACACAATCGTTTGTGAAACGTTTAACAGGTAAAAACCCTAACCAATATTTCGCTTCTGTTAAAAACTTGAAAGACTTTGTGATTTGTTAAGCAGTCCAGTTTTAAGCCTTAGTACGTGCTTAATTTACTTATTCGCTTACCAACACTTTCATGTTGTTAGTTGTAGACGCTCTCATTTACGGAAGCGGTTAGCCTGTTAGCCTTATTAGCAGCAGCGGCTAGCTTTAGCTCGCCAATACACTATTGAATACTGTTGTGGTTCTTATTATAATAGCTTCTGGGTATGTACTTTAGTACTTTTGTTTTAAATGCATTTCTTGTGTGGTTTAACACGTACACATCGCCGAATATGGGTGGATTACCTTTATCAATGCTAGTGTTCATTGTTGAGATAAACAAACCTTTACATTGTTTTATTTCGACCCAGTTTAGGTGAAGATGAGTCTCAGAAAACAAACCCCCAGTGACTTTCTGAAGCAGATTATCGGCAGACCTGTGGTGGTCAAGCTCAACTCGGGCGTTGATTACAGAGGTACTGCAGCTGCCATGCTGAAATGAATGGCATAGTCCTCTTCCATTAAGTAAAATGCAATCTGAATAACCGCTGCTGTTTGTCGCTGTGCAGGTGTTCTGGCCTGTCTGGATGGTTACATGAACATTGCTATTGAGCAGACAGAGGAGTACGTCAACGGGCAGCTCAAGAACAAGTATGGAGATGCCTTTTTGAGAGGAAACAATGGTAAGGATGTATATATTTTTTTATTAATAAAAAGTTATACAGCGACTTCTGTAACTGGTGTCAATGAAAAATGCATTTCTTAGTCAACTAATTTTGATTTTAAAATGGTCAATTTTATGAAAACCAACACTTGGTTAAATTCATACAGAAAGAGGATGAAAAACTTTTTTTTTTTTTTTTTTTTTAAAACATCCAAACAGCTGAAAAACTGATCTAATTGAGATCCTGTAGATTTACAGGAACCAATGTTTTTAGACAACTGAGATAATTAAGAGCTAGTTCTCATTGGTAACGCCAACCTGGGAATCATATTCTACTAAATCTTTTTTGGACACATTAACACAATGAATTTATACCAGTTTACTTCTCCTGAGGTAAGTAAGACATAAACTCAGAAATCCTTTAAAGATCTGTTTCTACAAACTCAGTTTTAGTCTAGAGTTGTATCCAGTTATTTTATTTAATTTTTTTCCCCACTAAATCAGAGAAATAGTTTGACTGAATCCCTTCTGTCCCATTTTGACATTAGACTTTATCATGAACTCTCAGGTTTATAGACTAATCATGTACGGTCGTGATGCAAAATATTCCAATGAAACTGTAATATCTTAATTAGCCAACTGTAAAATTGAGCTGATTAAATGCTCATTTTTATTATTTACCAGCAAACTTTGATGATAATATTGTGACTAGATGAGAACCAGAGAAGACTGACCCCAACATACCTCTGGAAATATTCAGTATTTTGGATGTTTTTATTAAGTTTTTGAAAGTGATTATGATATGCTGTAACAAAGACTTTTTTATTCTTATTTTAAACATGAAAAGTAACACATTCTGAAATTAAAATAAAAATTTCAGAAACTTCTAATATCTTGGGGGGGATTTCCTTTAATATGTGTGATTACCAAACATTACAGATGTATCCATAATGATTAAAAAAATGCTGCTCCTTTTTTGTGTTTTGACTTTGATTCAGTGCAGCTTGTTGATGCTTTATATTACCTTTGTCTACAAGACGCATTTTTCTAGTATAAAATAGTTTGGCATTGATTTCTGTTATTGTTGCTACACTCTTAGCTACAAGTTTAAGGATTTTACTATTTTAATTCAGAATGATGATTCTTAACCGATGTCTGCATCCTCCCTTCTCTGGCTGTGTTTCCCAGACAGAAGCCAACTACAGTGTGATTCAGTCATGAATGTGAATCATGCTGTTGAGGAGCATTTACAGTCTCTACGTAGGACTATTTCAGTCACAGTGGAGCAGCTGGTTAAATGTAGATTTAAGGTATGAGCAGAAATAACAACCTACCTGTCTGCTGTTCAGCACAGCAGTCAGGACGAGCAGAACTGTGATTTTAATGTCGGGCAGTCGCAGTGTTGTGGGTCCCACACATTTTGTGGTTGGCTTCAGGAAGTAAAGGGTGGGAGTGACTTCAAAGACGAGAAAGCATCAGGAATCAATTGTTGTTTAGAACACCATTTTTATAAAACAAGCGCTTTTTTTTTGCCGTTTGGTTGGACTTTGGTTGGGCCACCCAAACCGGCTGCATATTTGGGGTAACGGCAGGAATGTTGTCTGTGGTGAAAACGGAACTGAAACGAGACTCTTCTACTGGTTTTGCTCTGTTCTTGTGGAGAAACACTCTTTGAAGCAAAATCTTGTTAAATGACTAAAAAAAGTTTTTAAAAGCTGTAAACTTGTTTTTTTTTTTTTTGCTCCTGCAGTTCTGTACATCAGCACCCAGAAGAGGAAGGTGTAGCAGAAATCTTCTTTTTTTAATTATTGTAAGTTTGTTTTAGAGAGCGAGTTTTTGTTCTTTTGTGGTTTTGTAAAGTTGAAATGTTCTACAAATGACATAAGTTGATAAATGATGGATTTCATTTACATTTTCATACTGTTATGAAAATAGAAATAAAATTACTTTAAATGGATTTGTGTAAAGTCGTTTGTGTTTCACATGAACAGTAGGTGGTTATATAATTTTAATAGTGTAACAAAGCTTTAGAAGACTTTTTTATGATTTGCCATTACTGGAGAGCTTGTAGAAATAAAAATCCAATATTTTTTATTTGTTGGTAATTTCTTTAACTCTCCAAATGTAATGGCACCCCAGGTAAAAATCCTTAGAATATGTGAAATCCATATCCATTATAGTTGAACAAACTCCACGTTTGTGATGGTAGGACAGCAACTAGTTTTATTTATTTTTTGGACATTATTTCCATAAAACCTGCTTGTGTGAAAACACAAATGTCACATTTTGCTGCAGTTTAACAATCAACTTTAGCAAGAAAATATTTCTATATACTCCAGAGAATGATGGATGAGAAGTTCCTAAAAACTCAGATCTACTTAAGTTAATTATAACTAGCGGTGGGCATTAACTAGTTATATTTACCTGAGTAACTTTTTGGAAAGGAGGTTTTGTTACACTATCCTTTTTACTTGAGTTATATTTTTTTATTAAGTATTGCTACTTTTGAGTAAAATTTCTGAATATGCACCGATTCATTTTGAAGTATGAAGAAAAAACAAAAAAATGTATGAGATCCAGACCCAGCTACAGCTAAAGCTGAAGTAAGACTTATCGTTTGTGGAAAATATTTATTTTTCTGACATTTTCTGATGTGCTTTTTGGTACTGTAAGTACTTGACTCTGTTCTGACATGCAGCATATTTGCATTACCATCTAAATATCAGTTACATAGTTGGAAAAGATCTGCCTGAATCTGTTATTTTATAACCATGTTATTTGTATTTTTTCTATTTTAGTGTTTAAAACACCATAATTTGTACATGACTACATTTTTGTCTGTTTTTTTTATTTTAAATCAGATGTTTGGATCAATATTTGAGTAACCTTTAAACTAGATAACCTTTTACTAGAGTAATTTCTTTGACCGTTTTCACTTTTGTGTAAAAATTTCTTGACTACAATTTTTAGCCACTGAACTCAAATCTGACTACAACAGCACAAAATGCTACAGTTACTTTTTAAAAGCAATTGGACGGAGTTCCAGTAACGTGATGTGGAGTTGGGAGTAAATTGTCGGCCAGGTAGCATGATGGAGCACCGCGGCATACTGGAGTAACCTGTTGCTCTTCTTAATGCACCATTACTGACGGATCCAATATGTACCTGTGACAGAAAGCATTTCTCAAGCAGGCAGATGTATATTAGAGAATAACAAAGAGAGCGACTGCAGGACTAATCTATAAATGGTGCCCCCTGCAGGCTGCATTAACATGTAAACGGATCTGTTAGATCGACTTTCTTTGCCCTCTGCAGCAGCCTTCAGAGATTTGGTTCTTTTAAAGCAACTCTGAGCACACAGGGCCACCTTTTCCTCCTTTCTTTTTTTGTGTCGTCTTCGATTCTGCTTGGGTTCTGTTTGCTCGGTCGGGTTTGGAAATCAATGCAGCAGCATATGCAGGGATTCATTTCAGCACGGCCCATGGTTATTTCGCAAATAAGTTCAAAAGCAGTATCACCTCATTACACTGAGATAAAAAAAATTGTAACAAATATGTGATTCATTAGATTGGTAATGAGAGGGAGCCGCATTGTAGACGCAGCAAGGGCAGTTAATTTCCTTCCAAGGGTGGATTTTTTTTTTTTCTGTTTTTTTTTTTTTTTTTTTCATTTTTGAGAGCCTTGTTTTCCAACCTGTGCATGCGCACTCTGGCCCCTGGAAGGAGACAAAAGGCTGCCAAGGTCAGGCCTGATTTGAGAATGAAGGACGCATTATTGATCAAACTCCGCCGAGCTGCAGCTGTAGAGAAAATGTTAGGGGGTGGAGGGGTGATTGAGCTGCTGTATACACACACACACACACAGTGGCACTGAGTGATAGGTCCACAGAAAGGAAATGTGCACGCTGCAACACACAAAGAACCATTATGGCACCTAGCGAGGGGTTAGCGCAGACAAATATTTACCCACTGGAATCATAATTGAGCTGCAGGCTGTGTGGCCTCAACGGGAACCAAAATATTATGATTCACACAAATGACCTCGGAGAGGATATGCAATTCAATGCTTCTTTTTGGTAATTAAAAAACTTTTATTGCAGCTATTGCTTCAGCATTTTTAGGAATCTTTTATATTTAATCTAAAGCACTGAAATTAAATTTAAAAAATTAGATTTTTTGTTTTGTTTTGCAGCTTAGTGTGTGTTTCCTCGCTCATCAAGGATAGTTTGTGCTGAGTTGGGGTCTCTGCTCCCCTCCTGAGCGGGCTGGAGGAGGAGGAGGATGCTGCAGTGGTTCACTGCTGACGTGCCGAGGTGAGTGATGGAGCGGAGAGGACAAAAGAGGATAGAATAGGTGACAGCCTTGTTATGTTTGGAGAAAAAGGGAAAAAAAAAGAGGAGGTGTGGGGGGGGGTCAGCTTTAAGTCTTACAGCACCACCATCTGCCTGAGACATAAAACTGCAGGAAGGAAGAGGTAAGAGGAGCGGAGGAGGATGTGACCCTGACTGATCACTGCAGCATGACTGTCTAGCCTCTTCACAAGGGATCAAAGGATGACAAGGACAACCGGTGGTGGGTTTTATGTTTGGCTGTGCCGCGTTCCCATTTGGACAAGGACAAATATCTGCCTTCTGTTAATGCAGATCTATTCAGAGTGGATATTATCATAAAGATGATTTTTACCAGGCTTTAAAAAGGAGGATGCACACATTTATATTGAACAAATTAATCTTCCTCCTGATTTGTTTTCTGCCTTGTCCAGCATTTACAGTTTTTATATTTATTAAGAAAGGACATAAACATGACAAACATTAACTATGTTGTGTCATGATTTTATAGGCCGTGTTCAATTGATGTCAGAATTTACCAGGGAGAAAAGTTTTGGCTTCAGAGCCACTAAAGAACCTGGTTAGAACCCGATGTGTCTGGTTGAGGTGAATATCAAGAAATTAGAATATAATTCAGAAGTTAAATTCCCTTCATATACAGTCATATTGAAAAAATTAGAATAATCTGATGAAGCTCATTTGTCAACTTAAAAATTCCTTTTGAAAAGAAACTAGACCAAAAATACTTGGTAAGATTTTGTTTGATTCTGTGTGTCATGAATTCCCGTTTCTCTTTTGAATCAAACTTCTTCAGTATATAACTCTTATTTGTTGGTTCTGAGCAGCTGTTTGTTTGTGCATGTGTTGTTTTGTGATCCTGACCAGCTTTAACCTCTGCCTGACAGCCTGTCATGTGCTCAGGACGTAAACGATGGCCGTGACCTCTCATTTTGTGCCTTTGCTTTCACATCCTGCAGTCTGGGTCAGAGGTCCGGCTGGGTTTCAGCAAGATAAACAAACACCTAAGGAACATTGTGACTGTTAAAGTAATAAAACAGACCCGTCTTTCTATTTTTAAATTGATTGAATCTCCATCGGTTTGGATTCGTATCCAAAAATAAGGGGGAAAAACGCTTTACTTATATCTTCAAGCCTTGTGTGTGTGTTGCCCTTCTTTGTTTCTCAGAATCCTCAATCCAAGTTAAAATCAGATGGTTGTTTTGATCCTAATTGAGTGTGAAGGCCTGTGGTAGCCCGAGCTGCTGTGCAACTCCTAGGCTCTTTATTTAGCCCCCGAGGACGCTCAACCTCAGCCAAAAATGTGACCCTTGACCTTGTTATCTGGAAAACTTCTATTCCCAGCACGCACAGGAGCTTCTGTGATTAATCTTGGCTCCGAATGGCAGCTTGATGCAGATGGTAAGGTTAGAGGAGGGTAACTAGGTGCTCCTTCTGAAGCAACAGCGCTGAAAGGTTTCACTTCACGTTGTTGTGGACATTCACTGACTCGCCAAAGACTGAGGCAGGAAGAGACTCGAACGTTGCGCTCCACGTGAGTCCTTGAACTTCGACTAGAAAAGACTTTGCAGCTGTCCCACAATAGTAGGCTCTATTTTGGAAACACACCGAGTTGCCTACGAATGTTACCCGTATTGTCTTATTGACTGTGACCTGACCCAGTTCAGCCTGAAGGGCCGGGGACACACAGCATCACAAGCACACTTCTCAACACAGACACCGAGAAAAAATGAGATCAAGTCAGGGAAGTATGGAGTTTCTCTTTCTAGAGAAAATTGAATTAATTTTATTGATATAAGCAGTTGAGAATCCAGATACGGAGTAAAATGTTACAATGTTTTGCAAACTTAGTGGTCTACTAGTTCAAATATGGTAGTAGACTTGAAACAAAACTAACTTACAAGTGACTTTTCAGCAAGAAATGTGTCTGTTTTACGTCAACAGTTCCTTAGTATTGACAAAAAGTACTTCTTCCATTGGTCGTTGATTTCTTTTATAAGGAGACATTTTTTCCGTGAAATAATCTACTAGTGGAACTACTACTTTTTCATCAATGTTAAGGAATTGTTGACTTAAAACAAGAGCCTATGTTTTGCTGAAAAGTTACTTATAAGTTAGTTTTATCTCATTTCAAGTGTATTAACATATTTCCACTAAAAACTAAACCAACATTCCTGGTAAAATTGTGTGTTTTTGCAGTGGAGTGCAGGAATATGAAGGAGTCATGTAAGGTTTTGCAGTTGTCCTTCATTTTTCTTGCTTGTATGATGGATTTAGTAGAGGGCTGTGTGATGTTCAAAGCTTTAAATCTTGGTTTATAACCTAACAATACTTTAAAGTTCTATACATCTCTCCTTCTGATCTGTCTGTTGGTCTTCTTGATGCTGGTTGTTCACTAATTTTACACACAGATTAATTTTGTTTGCTAATTCAGCAACTTGTCCTGGATTTTATTTTGTGGTATTCAACCAAAGTGGGCTGAATACAAATGCATGCCACACTTTTCAGATTTTTCTTTATTTTCCTTCCTCTTTGCAACTATATATTTCTTTGTGTTTAAATCTGTTTCATATTAAAGTTCATGGTCGTAACATGGAAAACTGTTCCAGTGG